CCCAACTGGCCTTGAACTTGCTATGTAGACCAGGCTGGCTTCAATTCCATGGCGATTCGCCTGTCTCTGCCTAACAAGTGCTGGGACTAAATGCATGCACCACCACATCCAGCTTCTGTTAAGTTGTTAATCAGGCAAGGCAATAAAATTTTCTTTCTTTTTTTGACTTTTTTGTTGATTGATTTTTGACAGGGTCTCCCTAGTCACAGCCCACCTGGAAGTCACAATGTGAACCAGGGTCGTGACCTTGATCTCACAGAAATCCACCTGCCTCTACCTTCCAAGTGCTGGGATTAAAGGCGCACGCCACCACACCTGGTGTGTAAATTTATGTATCTTACATATTATAATATTAACCGGTCCAAATACTGCATTAAATTGTCATAAAAATTAATAAATAAAAGCCAAACCACCCCCAAAATGTTAGGTTTACCCTGGAGATATTGTCAGAAAACATCATTATAACTTTTTTCCTATGTATTTTTCTTAATTATGTTTCCATTGCTGAAGACATAGAGAAGTCTCTCAACAGAACTTTATACATTTATACTCATGACCTTCAGAGATATTAAAAGGTCTAAGGTACAAAAATGTGCAGATATGAGGAAAAAAGAATCAGCAGAAATAACTGTGTAGCAAAAGTACTTCCTGCTTCTCCAGCATGAGTTTTCTGCTGAGTAATTTGCTCATTTCATGTTATGCAGACAGATACAGCTTCATTTTAGGATTTCATTTTAGGATTTATGGAGTCCATGTGCTTAAAAAATACACATCGCAGAATGCAGATGAAATGAAAAATGACCCATGATATGACCATGGAGATGCAAAAAGAAAGATGAAAAAGAACAAGGGGTAAAGAAGAAAACACAAAGTAAAGAAGCTCTCACTGAGCCCCTGCACTAAGATTCATTCATCTTGTTAGCAGGAAAATGGTTATATTAGGTAACACACGTTCTCAATACCATAGATGAGCATGTGGCCATCACTGCAGAATACACACCTGAGTGGACTGTACATCTGAGTCCTCACATATCAATGATGACTACCAGCTTTCACCCTGGATGTGTCCCCTAAGAAGTTGTTCACACATATATTCTTTCTAAATATAAAAAAGATTGTAATCCTCCTGTAAATCAATGCAATCATCTATCTGCTCTGAAATAGAAGATGGGCATGAGTGGTGGTGAGGGCTACAAGACAGCTCTCATTTTATTCCTGAGAATGTACTGGTCTGTCTCTGCAGCTTGAAAAGTCTCTGACCCCAGTTTTTGTAAGCTCTCACTGTCAAAACAGCAAGATGTCTTCAGCTTGAGACAGCAGGATATTTTAACCACCAGAAATATATAACATCAATCATAAGACCTTGAACAAATCTCAAAATGGAACCACCTACTTCTAGTTCAAACCAATTCTAAAAAAATATACAGAGGGAAACATTTTTTTTTATTTTTGGTCTTTTTGAGACAGGGTCTCCCTGTAGCCCCAGCTGTCCTGGAACTCACTATGTAGACCAGGCTGGACTTTGAACTCACAGAGATCCACCTGCCTCTGCCTCCCAAATGCTGGGATTAAAGGCGTGCGCTACCACACCAGCAGAGAAGGAAACATTTTAAGCCTACTAATTAGAGAAAGGATGGTGTCAGCTAGAACAGAGGATGTGGATACAGTCTAGACCCTAGAGATGATCCCCTATTTCTCAGGGAGAGTCCACTCCAGACTTTGTGAGTGTATCTGATATTGCTTTAAAAATATTTTTGAATATGTATACTTATTCTTATAGTCAAGTACAAGTGTACCTCTTACTACCCATTAAAGAAACTTCTTTTTTCAACAGAAAGAGACTATTACAAAGTTCTACAACTGGACAAACACAGAGAATAAGTGACTGTGAGGTACCCAGCCCTTAAGTGAAACATCTACAATGCAACCTTACACCTAAGACTCAGGGAACATCATGGAAAAGGGGACAGAAAGAATGTAAGAGCCAGAGGGACAAAACACCTGCTGCTAGTTAATGCATTCTAGACATGAAAGGGAACAACATCATTGAACTCTCCACAATATGGTAAGTCTAATGAGATCTGCATAATGACAAAACCAGTTGACATGCCAAGATGGATGGGGGAAATTTCACTGGTTCCCATCTCAAAATGAAAAGCTACAGGCGATCAATGGATTCAATGGATGCTGAGTGAGGCTAGAATCGGTTTTCTGCAGGGACTAGCTCCCCTGAGAGGTCATCCAAGCCCAAGCAGACAGCCCTAATCACAGGTACACACAAGACTACTTAATGGACTCAACACATATATACACATATATATGTACATATATAAATACATTTATAGACGTATGTATATGTAACGATAATAATCAAGAAATTCAGGGGGCAGGGGAAAAGTTGGAGAGGAATTGGGAGAGATGGAAATAATGCAAATATAATACTCACGTATGAAATTCTCAAAAATAAAAATAAATATTTTTGTGTCTATATGTGTGCCATGTGTGTACACAGTGATCATTAGTGTGTGTTGGTGTGAGTACATATGCACCACAGCATGCAACAAGCACCTTATCACTGATGGCAATGTGCCACCTCCCTAGTTAGCCCTGCCTTTGCTTTTAACAAAGCTTAAATTTCTGTCTTGCTGAATTATTTTCACCAAGAGTACAAGAACTGGGGAAAACCAGAACATCTGCCATTGATTAGTTAGCAAAGTTAACATGGAAAACATCCATTCAAATGAGAAAGCTTAAAAAGACTTGGGGGACCCCAGCTCTGGTTGCCATTTGAGGTAGGGAATATGACCATACTTCAGCCCCAGCTCTGGTTCACCTTTGGAAATTAGCACTTTGCCCATCTTTCTTCAGAGAATCTTCTGACTGCGGCAGGCAGTAGTTAATGCAGAAATCCATACTGGCCAAAGTGCTGAGAAGTGCTCAGTCCTACATGGGACAGCATGTCCCCACCTCCAAGGCTCAGGGAACATCACAGAAGAGTAGGTGGAAAGAATGTATGAGCCAGAGGATGGGGAAATGTACAGCAAAGAACAACCCCTGGGCATGACATGGCTGCTATACTCACAAACTCACTGCAGCTCTGGATATCTGCACAAGACCTGCACAAAAATGGTCCCATCATGCTTAACTCTTCCTGAGGGACTACTGGTAATTAATGGTAGCTAGGGAAGGGGTGTTATTTTCCTCAGCGGTATAACCATTAATTTCCCCTTGTTCCAGTAAACAACCTCTCATCCATACTTGGGCAAGAAACACTAACCTAGTGGGTCCCCCACAAAAAGATGTGAAAGTAGAAGGGGACTTGTTGAGAATAAAGGTTCCAAAGGACGAGGGAGGGGGTGAGAGAGGAGAATGAGCCATGAAAATGGCTCAAGCCTGAAACTATCAAACGATAAAATTTTTTTAGGCTTTGGAATCAGTACCTCAATATGATCCATTGTTTTCTGCCATACAGACTGTTTCTCCTCCGCACTGTGGCCAGGAATAGATAAGATGTTGTGGATATAGTTGAAGACTTCCTCCTGAAGAGCACAAGGTAATACATTCATTTCTTCACTTGACAATGTCCAGTGACTCCCCCCTATCTGCACCAATCTTGGTAAGAGTCTATTATTTGGAGATGAAAAGCCATTTGGAAATAGTTATAGAAATTACTTAAAATATAGGATAGACTCAGAACTTATAAATCTGTTCCAATTAAATTTGCTCCCAATTGATTACCTTCAGTGACCTAACTGAATATTATACTTTTGTTTTTTGGTAGTCTTGTCCACACTCCTAGTTTCACTCAAATCTCTTGCCCTTGTCAAATATGGTCATTTATGCTGACCCTCATTTCATCTATATGATCTCCATTCAGTTCCTTGAAGATGTTTGACCCCACTTTGAACACATTGTTCCCTATCATGAACATTCATCCTTTGAAGCTTTGCTTGGGTGGCTTCTCAAATGCCAACACTCATGAGAGTTCTTCATTGGCAGCTGGGTATAAGTTAGTCCCTCATTATTTTCCGAAGTTGTACCCCATCCATTTTGCCTAGCACTTACCAGAATCTTTAATTATACATTTCATTTACTGTCAGTTTGACCTATGAATTATATATCCCCAAACTTCAGGAACTTTGTTATAATTAGCAAAACAGACGTTTCTTATAGTAAGTACTCAATAAAAACCTAGTTAAGTCTGAGACAGGAAGGAAGGGAGGGGAGGGAGAGGAAAGAGGGAAAGCAAGAGAGTGGGAAAGAAGGAAGAAGAGAGAAAGAGAAAGACTGGCTTAAAGGGGTAAAACAGTCTTTGAACTTACCTCTCTCAGTGGGTCATGCAAGTAGCAATCAATAATTTTGTCATACTGGTGTTCTCGTTCATACATAAATTCACAAATTTGATAGCTACAATGTGAAAGGAGAAAGTTCAACATGCCAAATAGGGAGGTGGTTATGAGTTTATTACTTTCAGAAGTTTACTCAAGCATATGGAAAAATGAATACTTTTATTTCTTGTTCCAAAAATTTTGAATTCTGGAGAGATTCAGCATTTGGAATCTGATTCCAAGTATTTCAGATAAGGGATACTTAGCCTGTACTGTGTATCTAAGAGAGAGAAGTGCCTGCCTGTCTCCTAGCTACAGATTCAAGATGCTGCTGAAAGCTTTGTTTATAAGTTTCTAGAAATATCAGACATTAAGTTTTTTTAATTTTGTTTTTTACTTCATTTTTTTTTTAATCTAGAGCTGGGCACTTGGAAGGTAGAGACAGGAACAAGTCCTACAAAGTACATTCCAGGACAGGTGAGCTACATAGTGAGACCCGGTCTTAAAAGCCAAAAATAAGTAACATAAATGAATAAATACATGTATATGTAAAATGAAACATCAAAAGACTATGATTTCATTTTCATATTAAAATATACATTTTATATTTATTCTATAAATTTCTGTAAATTTTACTAATTTTTAGACTATAAAAGGCAAAAGCTTTCATGTTTGTGTTTGTTACTGAGGCTGCTATCTGTGTAACAATCGATTTAGAAAGCAGAAAAGCAAAAACAGATTGTGTTTCAACTCAGAGAAATATAACAGTCCCATGGAAATTAATACATAGCTTCAAAGCAACTTACAATTCAGCTTTTTCTGCCATACGGATGAGCCGACCCTCTTCAAACTGGACTAGGCCTCCAGCCTGCAGCAATTCTAAGAGGACCTGAACATTTAAAGTGCAGTAAAACACTTTGGAGCTTGTTTTTATCCACTCAGCCATGCTTTTATTCACCAGCTCTCTAAGGTCCACTCAGCCATGCAGACCAAAACTTTTTCTTGTATATTACAGGATAATATTTTGTGTGCATTCATTTATACAGGAAGTTAGTCAGTCATGTGATGGCTCTGCTTTTCAAGCAAAGAAGGAATAGCACAGTCTTTGCAGGTACTAGATTCCACACCCCATCCCCCCTCAACACACACTCAAAATGTCTGTATATGTCTTTTGAAGAAGTTAGTTTTTATCTGGCACTTTTATATCTTATAGCAATTTTAAATTTTATTTTATTTTTATTTTACATTTAATAGTGTTATGCCTCTTTGTAAGCACATGCAGGTCATGCAGTTCCAGCAGAGGTCAGAGGAGAGCACTAGATGCCCTAGAACTGAAGTTATGGATGTTGGCTACTAGCCACATGTAGGTGGGGTGATTCGAACCGAGGTTTTCTGCAAAAACAGTCAGTGCTCTTAATTGCTGAGTCATCTCTCCACTCCCTGTCTTGTAGCTTGGTTTATACATATATATTTTTTTCTACAATTTACTTAATAGCCACGTGATTAGAAGAAGCATTTCATTACAGCATTAACATATTCAATAACATTTCCAGAGCAAAGATGCATCTCTTTCAAAATTGGCTGTAATTTTTAGGTTCACAGATGATTTAACACAGTTATACAATACTGCACTCAGTATAAACGCTATAAGACATAAAATTGAATGAGGTTTTAACCTTTAAAAAAGATCTCCATGTCATTTTAAAATATACTGTTTCATACAGAAAAACTCATTTTTAATACTCCTAACACTTAGATGTTTGCATATTTGTCTCTACTCTCTATGTATCTGATTATTACTAGTCACAGTCACTTTCTGAGATCCTTGGCACCTAAGTATGGATATAAAGTCATCAGGTAGATTTCAATGGTAATGTTTGTCACCTATACTAATTAAGATGAAGCAAATATTTGCTTCTTCCTCAAATGTAACTCCGTGTTTTTAAGTTGATTTTTTGTGTGTATTTCATACAGAATATCCCAAACAATCTTATTCATCTATATACCCACGTCCTAAATGGCACTCTCCCATAGCCTCCCCCACCCCCGCTGGAGCCCATATACTCTGTCATCCCTGTTCCTGTACACTGTGTTGTCAGTGCCCCCAGCCATTCCCCAGTGCAAGTCCATCCACTGAATCTAGTCAGCCTATCTAGGGTCCCTTGTTTTAGGAAGATTAGTTCTTCCTCATCTAACAGCAATCAATTGCCAATATTCCTTTAAGTAAGACTGGGTCTGCTGTTCATTTACCCAGTTCTATGCTGGATTACTGCTGGGGAGGTCTCTTGGGCCATCCTGGCCAACAACTCAAAGGAAGGTATCTCCTATCTGGCATTGTTTCTTGTTATGTAGCCTTTAGCTATACACATAGACTCATAAAGAATTATATTGATCCCTTTAATCTTTGGTTATACTTTCCTTTTGGGTGTTTAAGGCCATACAGTTGGCCCAGATAAACCAATTTACTTTTACTCTTAAGGTCGTTTGAGGATCTATTCCTCAGGGGCTTGGGAGGAGCCCTGGCTCCTTTCTTTTACCAGTTCCATCTATGTGAAGATAAGTCAAAGGTCCTGCTTGACCATGGCTGGCTTCACCTGGAAGCTTGGAGGAAATGTTTCCTCTGTGTTGACCCTCCTGTTTGTAGAATGGACACCCTTTCAAGTCCATTTGGTGGGGTTTCTATGACCTCCTTGATCAAGTAGACAGGTGACTTATCACAGGTACAGGACATTTTGAGAGATGCTCACAGTCCCCTAAAACTCAGTTGACCTAAGAGGGAAAGGAGCAAAAACTGTCCCTCTGACCAAATTAGGATAGGCCTCAAAGTATGGCTGATAAACATCCAAGAAGGTTAGGTCCACCAGTTTGGTACTTTTAATTAACATGTGCTATGTAGATAAAGCTTGGGCAAATACCAAACATTGTCAGATAAACCTTGCCTAGACACGTTCCTTAAGCTAGATGTATGTATAATTTGTCAGTAGGTTCCCTCTGGGTTTTTTTAAATTAGCTAGCCATTATTGATCTCTCGCACTGTCTGACTCTTCCACCATGGTTTCCCCATTTAAGGTGCCCCATTTCTCCCATTTCTCCCTTAACAATACCTTTCTCACATGGTCCCACCTCTCTTGAGTTCCTTCTTTCCCTTTATCCCCAAGTTTCCTTGTATAACCCTCCCTTTCCCTCCCCTTAAAATAACCCCATTTTTATCTATATCTCCCTTATTAAGGCCTGTTTCCTACTGTTCTTCTCTTTCAGGTTCTTTCTTTTCCTTTACCTCCCTGTTTCCTTTCCATTATCCTGGTTCCTATAGTTATGTCTGGATATACACTTACTTACAAGGATTTGGTGCTAGGATCCGCATATGAGAGAGAACATGTGTTATTTTGTTGCTGGGTTTTATTTTTCTGAGTCTGTGTTACTTCACTTAGTTTAAGTTTCTAGTTCCATCCATTTACATGCAAATTTCATGATTTCATCCTTCTTTACTGCTGAGTAAAACTCCATCATATAAATGAACCACATTTTCATTATCCACTCATCAGTTGAGGGACACTTAGGTTGCATCCCTCTCTTAGCTATTGTGAAAAGAGCAGCAACAAACATGGATATACAACTGTCTCTGCAATAGGATGAGTTCTTTGGGAGTATGGCAAGCAGTGGTATAACTGGGTCAAATGGCAGGTTCATTGGAAGTTTTTTTAAGTTCTCCATACTGGTTACCATAGGAGTTGAAAAAGTTTGCAGTCCCACAAGCAGTGGATGAGTGTCCCCCTTTCCCCACATCCTCTCTAACATTTGGTATCATTTGTTCTCTTGATCTTAGCCAGTCTGACTGGGGTAAGACAAAATCTTAAAGTGGTTTTAATTTCCATTTCCCTAATTACTAGTGACATTGAACACTTTTTAAGATGCTTTGTAGCCATTTTTATTTCTTCTTTTAAGAACTCTCAGTTCAGTTCCTTAGCCCATCTTTTAATTAGGTTACCTCCTTTCTTGATTGTTTTTTGAGTTCATTATATATTCTGGATGTTAAGCCTCTGTCAGATGTGTTGCTGGTGAAGATTTTCTCCCATTCTGTGGGTTTTCTCTTCACTTCCTTGGTTGCTTCTTTTGATGTACAGAAGCTTTTAGTTTAATGAGGTCCCATTTGTTGATTATTGACCTTGTTTCCTGAGCAACTGATGTCCGGTTTAGAAAATCCTTCCCTAAACCTTTTGCATGCAGGTTATTGCCAATGTTTTCTTCTAACAGTTTCAGAGTTTCAGGCTTCACATTGAGGTCTTGGATCCACTTGGAGTTGACTTTTGGGCAAGGTGAAAGATAAGGGTTTAGTTTCATTCTTCTACAGGTAGAGATCCAGTTTTGCCAGCATCACTTGCTGACCATGCTGTTTTTCCTCCAGTTAATGTTCTTGGCCCTTTTGTCAAATATCAGGTGGCTTGGCTGAAATTGCATGTCTATTTTATGACAATAGCTCTGTAATACAGTTTAAAGTCTTGTGTAGTAATCCCACCAGCATTGCTCCTAGTGCTCAGTGTTGCTTTGTCTAGCTGAGGTCATTGTGCTTCAATATGAATCTTAGAATGTTTTTTTTCTAACTCTATGAAGAATGTCATGAGGATTTTTATTGGCATTGCATTGAATCTATAAATGGCTTTTGGTAGGATGGTCATTTTCGCAATATTAATTCTTCCAATCCATGACCATGGGAGGTCCTTCTATCTTCTGATGTCTTCCTCAATCTCTTTCGTTAAGTTAAATTTTCATTGTAGAGGTCTTTAGCATCTTTGGTCAGGTTTATTCTGAGATATTTTATTTTATTTTATTATTGGCATTGCATTGAATCTATATATGACTCTTGGTAGGATGGTCATTTTCACAATATTAATTCTTCCAATCCATGCACATGGGAGGTCTATAGAAAGGCTACAGACTTTTGTAGATTAATTTTGTAACCTGCCACTATACTGAAAGTGTTAATCATTTCTAGGAGATTTCTGGTAGAATGTTTGGCATCTCTTAGATATAGTATCATATCGTCTGCAAAAAGGAATAATTTGATCTCTTCTTTTCCAATTACTCCTTTAATTTCCTTCTCTTGTCTTATTGCTCTTGCAAGAGTTTCAAGCACTATGTTAAAAAAGGAGTGGAGATAGTGGACAGCCTTGTCTGGTTCCTGATTTCAATGGGAATGCTTCCAGTTTTTCTCCATTTAGAATGATGTTGGCTGTGGGTTTGGTGCATATGGCTTTAATTATGTTGAGGTATGCCCCCTGAAGTCCAATTCCCTCTAGGAATTTGAAAATAAATGCATGTTGAATTTTGTCAAAGGCCTTCTCTGCATCTATTGAGATGACCATGTGGTTCTTGTCTTTGAGCCCATTTATATGATTTATGACATTTATTGAATTACGTATATTGAACCATCCTTGCATCTCTGGGATAAAGCCAACTTGATCATGGTGGATGATCCTTTTGATGTGTCTGTATGCGGTTTGCAAGTATTTCATTGAGAAT